TTAGGAGAGGGATATGGTCCAGGCAGCTCCAGGATGCCTGGCCACACACCCGTGGGTCCTGCTTCCCACAGTCACCCACTACCATGCACTGGTCCACCAGCCCGCTGAAGGAGGAGAACAGAAATCCTATAAAAGGCTGTTCTTTCTTCTGATACTTATATGTTAGTATTGGTACTTTAACTCAACCACTGTAGCGTTTTGGTTGCTTTGTGTATTGATATTTGTATGTGTTACTGATTATTTGTGTGTGTATGAAATTCTCAGGGTTCAATTCACTTGTCTACCTGATTGTTCCACACGAAAATCGCGCTATAGACCTACTATTTTCAGTCGTTTCACCTCTGTCTTGTCACTTTTAACTCGGAGCGACTCCAACCGACTTGACTCAACGTCACTATTTCTTAACTTCTTCTTAACTTTTTACTGAGGGTTGATCACTTTTACTCAGATGTGATCTGAACTGCACACTTATACTAATAAAACTTAATTTTTATTAGGACGCCTTATGACCTATGAGCCAGAGCACGTAGGGGAGAGGAGTAAAGAAGGAAGAGGGGTCAGACCAGAAAATGCGGTCTTTTATACCTTTCCTAAGGGCTCTGTTTTCACATGTCACTTTACTATTTACATTGCTGAGTAATCTTATATTGAGCTTAGCAATCCTCTTATGTAAGCGATCAGCATCCCATTCTGCTTCTAGAACTTTCTGGAAGTTTTGGTGTGGGAATTAGCCAATTGCATTGCCTAACACCCATCATGACCTTGTTTACCCTTGTTTACTCACTTTATTCTAAGTCACATGTCATGGGGTTATTTGTTAGCTTAAGAGTGTAGCTTTCTGTCGGTATAAACAACAGTAAACTACGAGGATTATTTATGAAGATATGAATTTTTCAAGATTTAATTTTGAGGTTCTCCAGATTGCTTTGGCATTAGCTCATCCATTTTCCTACGATTAATTCTGGATAAATTATGCCTTGTTCCTGGACTCAAACTCTTTAGTTTCGCATTTCTAGCTCATCCGTTTTTACCACAAACTCAGGATGTTTGAGCCAGTCTTCTCTGCAAGTGTTTTTTAATCTTGTTAAATCCATTTCTCCCTCAATTCTTCAGATTTTAACATGAAATCTTTTTGTACACAGACCTATACTTCAACTCTTTAAGACCGACAAAGATTCATATTTTCTCCTATTTTCCTCGTATAGATATTTCCAATTCTTTCATCTTTTCCTCGTACCCGACCATTTTTCATTATGTGAATTCCTTGATTTTCTTCCGATTTCTCTTTGTCATTCGTTTCGTACGTTCGTAAAACTATTTTCCCACGTTACCACGAATTTCTAATATTTTATTTGATACAGGAAACCTTGTTTTTGTTTTCATGTGAGTTTATTTGCTGTTTTTCTTCATTTTCTGAACCATCTTTTAATCCCTAGACTTGAAAGTTCGCGTAGATACTCAATCCATCGACTCTGTTCTTCAGTATTTTTCCGATATTTTATTTCAATTCATTTTTGTTGAGTTATGATTTTATTACTATTTTTATTTCTGGTCCGCGGAGGTTGTATGATTTTTATCCAATTTTCTGTGATGGTTTCTGGTTGTTTTAGTGTTGCAACTTTTATATTCCTACACCGCTTTCCCCAACAACTCCCGCTACCAGTACGCTCCTGTGAGCGCCAAGTCACCAATAGCCACCAACTGGGTGACTCCCTTTGGGAGTCCCAGTATCCTGCACTACCGGTACGCTCCATTGAGCACCAAGTCACCACTAGCTGACCACTCCCAGCACACCCGCTACCGGCATGCTCCCAGGAGTGCCAAGTCCCTGTTAGCAGACAGCCAGGTGGCTCCCTCAAGGAGCCCACATCATACTCGCTACCGGTATGCTCCCAGGAGTGCCAAGTTACTGTTGGCCAACCCACAGGTTGTACTTCCAGACACTCATCCCATTCTGCTCTCCCTCCAATGGCTATGCAGCCACCTCCATTAGTGAGCCGAATGGTTCAGGTTGGGTTCCCTGGAACCCATTCCTGTAACACCCTGTGTTCAGCATTTCCCAAAATGATGTTGGAGTTACAACGACATGTGACTCACTAACCAAACTCACATGATCTTACTTTTTGTTTCTGTTGTATTGATACTGTGACTACATTGTAGGTAATTGTTTTGGGCTATTTTCCTTCCACACACAATTTTATGCTTGGTAACAGTGTACAATATCCATTCAAACTTGAATAGAGTATTTTGTTTGTTGCTACACAAATATGGAGGTCATTTGCGATGTCATATAATGTGCAATGACATTTGGTACACTTGTTGTAACAGTGAGCCAAAGCATTGTAATTTATTGAGATGCATTGCAATGTGTTGCAATGCATGTCATGTGATGCAGCGAATCTGCAACTTTTCCGACAGCTCTGAGAGCTCATAGAGCTATATTTGCACACAGGGGACTATTATCTATATGAGCTCCCTGAGTGTTTAATTTACCCAATATCAAAATTAAAATTTAAGAGCATTGACTCTGGCATCAAGTGATGAGTCACAGTGTTAGAACTGGGCGAGGGTGGACGATTCTGGAGGGGAACCGGAGACTTAGCAAGGAGGGACCTTGGCCTCAGCGACTCATGCAGAGCGCTGTGCCATTGCTGTTTGTCCATTTGATCCTTAATTTCAGAGGTGGTGAGCAGGAAGTCTCTAGGGGGCATTTCAGGTCGATTTTAGACTAAGGGCCTAAAACAAGTATGTACACGTGCCAGTATATAATGGAGAGGGCGAAAGCACAAGGAAACAAAGAGGGTTCGAATCGGAACAAAGGTGTCCGAACAGGACAAAGGGAAGACGAAAGCGGAGCAGCACTGAAGGTCATAGGTTTAGAACCTGTGGTACATCCGAAAGGAGATAGGGAGGGAAAAGCCCAGAGGGGCAGGAAGAGGAGGTGAAATGGGGATGATGACTAACTGGCTAGAATGGGAAGAAGCAGCAGTCCAAATAAGGATGAGGGGAAAGCATGAAAGATACATTACAAGTGGCAAAAGTGCCAGGTATGATCCATGGAGCTTGGAGGTCGCAGAGCTTATGGAGGTTACGGAGGCAGGGTTGAAAGTCTGAGGAATGTTGGCAATGGTGTTTATGTAGTATGAGGTCACCAATGCAATGGACTTAAGCCGAGGTGGAGTCAAAGTCCGAGGTTGGAACTATGACAGAATCTTGGAGCGAAGGTACAAGTGGTGTCTGAGTACAGGGTACAAGACAATGGTGGAAGGTCGTAACTTGCTGGAGGTTTGGCAGAAGAGGGTCAGAGGGAGGAGAGAGAAGAGAGGAGCGGGGGAGAGGAAAGGTGTCAGGTCCGAAGGTGAGTATCGGAGCGGATGGAAGTAGGGTAGGAGAGTGACGGAAGGATGGAGGTGTTGTGAGGAGTAAGAGGAGGAGGGTGGCGAGAGGAGTGATGTTTGGTCCGAGGTGAGTATCGGAGTGGATGGAGATAGGGTAGGACTCCGGAGGTGGTGAAGATGGGACTCCAGGATTGGGATCAAGTATGTATGGATATGACACACAGCCAAGTCCCTACCTTACAGGAAACTGAACAAACTGAGCTTAACTTTCAGCCCCCAATGCAGCACTACACACCAAGGGTATATAGCCAAATTAAGGGATATACATCCAGTTAATCTGAATGAGGGGGGGAATGGGGGGAAATTGAGGAGGGAATTGGGGGGGGGAATGAGGGAAAAAATTGAGGAGGGAATGGGGGGGGAATGAGGGGAAATTTGGAGGGGGGAATGGAGGGAAAATTGAAGGGGGGGATGGGGGGGAAATTGAGGGGGGGGGATGAAGGGGAAAATGGGAGGAAAATGAGGGGGAACTGGGGGGTTTCTAAAAACTTGAAAAAAGTCAGGGAAAATTAAGGAAATTTCAGAAAATGGGGGACTTTCTAAAAATGGAGAATGTCCAAAAAATCAGGGGAAATTAGGGGGAAAATCAGAAATTTTGGGATAAGTTAGGGAGAGATATTTCAGGAAATTAGGAATAATTGGAAAAAAATTAAACACTTTTTTGATAATTCAATGTGCATTGGATAGTGCCAAAGTGGGGCAATGTAGCATTGTATGTTTCAGTGTTAGAAAAGTCTCCCACCATGTTTTGGTGAGCCAAATAACCATGGCTTTTTGACCATGGGAAATTTGGTGTCAAAGGCTTGGATGATATCTGAAGAATACATCAGCTTTTTGTTTGCTTTATTGGGTGGTATTTTTAATTTACTTCATTTGGAACACTTTTTTAAAACTGATTTATACCCTACATAACATGCATGGTTACATTGTGTGCTTTCCAATTCACATAGAATCATCAAAATTGGTTGAGTTTTGAGCAAGAAATGAGATGAAAGATAAAGTGCAAATTTTTGAATTTCAGAGTTTTCCTCAAATTTTGTAAATAGCAAAAACAAATAAGATGCTGATTTTAGTAAACACAAAAGGTATATGAGCTCTATGAGCCCACTGAGCTCATAGAGCTCATAGAGCTTTCAGAGCAATGACAATGGCCATTTTACACACACAATATATCCATATTATCTTTGCACTACTGGTGCCAAAATAACTAAGCAGATAGAGCTTTTCAAGTAATGATGCTGGCCATTTAACATGCATTTCCAAAGCTTCCTACCAAGTTTGCTGATGTTGAGACCATGGAAGAACTCCAAGTGGCTGGGGAGATGTATTGAGTGGATCAAGACATTTTGTTTGTGGATAAAATTTGAGTGCAAGGCAAGATTTTGGAGGTACACATTATCCCAGAGACTTCACACTACAATCCCAAACAACTACAAACCCTTATTTCCATATAGGGAAATCCCATAAAGGGAAATTTCCTTTTATAGAAACCTAGTAGGGCTACTAGGATGGAAGAAAACATATTGGATTATCAACACTACCAAGTATCAGAAGGCAAAGTCAGCTGCAGCTTGGGAGTCATCAAAGAACTCTATTGACGAGATGACCATTGACTACATCACAAACCAAGAGCAGAGCTTGCCAGATTTGGATTCATTTTATACCATCCAATTCTGGAATGCTGTCCAGGAGGCAGAGCTCAAATCTGGTCTTGCCACACTTCCTGGTGGAAAAAACAAAATTGGTCTTTGTGTTTATCCAGATGACATTTTTCAAGTATCAATGCCAAAGCAATGTCAGCGGTATGACATTTACATTGCAGAAGTCCGAAAGGCAGTTGAGGAGATTATTCAACACACTGGTACCAGGTTGAGCCCCCATGTTGCTTCGGCTGTACTCAACCACTTCAATGTCCTGTTCTCCAGACATATCTACAACATTCCCATGGTGCTGATGACCACTGGGCTCATCGCAAAATTTGAAGATTTGACTGCAAAGTATGAGATGTGTTTCCAAGAGGTATGTGAACTCCTGCCATATTAGACCATGGTCATACTTTTGTTTGTGAACCCTAGTATGATCTGACCCCCATATTCATACCCAATATTTCTCCTGCCTTTGTCAACCGTGGTCATAATTATGTTCATGAACACTAGTATGATCTTGCCCTCACCCATGGTCATAATAACATTGATCATCTGAGGTCATACTCATGTTCATGAGCACTAGTACGATCTAAATCACCCTACCTATCAATAGTAGTGTTTGTGAACACTTGTACAATCTTTCCCTCACCCATATGGTCATAATTAACATTGATCATCTGAGGTTGTACTCATGTTCACGAGCACTACTATGATCTAAATCATCACTATACCTATCACTCCACCCAGGTTGTAGTAGTGTTTTCAAATGCTTGTACAACCCTCAACACCCAACACTGTGATCTAATCATCATTATCAACAGATTCATGCATGGCTAGATCCCATGTCCATCTACCTCATGGACTGGCCAAAAGAAGATCCCTCCAACCATTCATATGTTCTTTTCAACTCCTTTCACCACAGTTCCCTTACTTGTGCATGGAATGTTGAGCTTGTGGTGAGTATGGCAAAGTTGTCATTAATCATCAATCGCATCTCATGATGGCTCGTTGTCATATTTTCTCCATTCATTCATATTTCTTTTATTGTTTCTTTGTTCCCAATTGGGCATTCCTTATTCACAGTTGTCTAACAGCCCGTTTACATTCCCCATTCCATTCATTTCATTTCCAATCCATATAAAATAGAAAATAGCTTGTACATAACAAGTTAGTACTGAATAGACCCATGAAGGAGTAAGAAGAAGTTACATCCAAGTGGCAAAGACACCATCCATGACCCTAGTGTCCTCCCTGAGCTTGTTGCTAACGTCTAAGACCCTTCCACTCATAACTCTCAGCCTTCATGTCCAAGAGAGATGTAGGTGAGTACATCGCTCAACATGAGCGCAACCCTTCATACCTGTTCGTGTACAGCGATGGCTCGCAACTTTGGGACAATGGGGTCAGGAAGACAGGGTATGGCGTGGTTGGCTATTCCAACCGCGCGGTGGTATTTCAGCAGAAAGGGGCGATGGGAGTGGGCGTTGAGTGTTTTGAGGGGGAAATGATGGGGCTACAGGTGGCCTTGGAGGAGATGCAATGTGTCTTCGAGGATCCCAAAGCGACCCAGCTACCAGCCCACGTCATCTTCTTCGCAGATGATGTAGGTTCCATCGAACGCATGATGCAGCCGAATCCGCGCCTGGGCTGAGATTACGTTGAAGAGTTCCAGGACAACATAAAAGCGGTACTGCAGGATAACCAAGGTCTTGACGTGGTAGTGTGCTGGTCTCCAGCTCACTGTGGTATCCAGGGGAATGATTGAGCAGACCAGCTGGTGAAGGCAGGTGCACTGGGACGTTGGGTTATAGGGTGATTTTTTGGACTTGGGTGCTCGATTCCATTTTTTGGGTGCTTGACCTTTGGGATGTTGGGAGTTGGAGTGGGGACTGGATGCTGGACTCTGGAGGCTGGCGTGCTGGGATGCTGGGATGCTGGGAGGCTGGAGGCTGGATGGATGCTGGGTCTGACTGCCACCTACTATGGAGGCTCTCAAGGAGAAGTGCTGACACTGTCAGCACTTTGGATGCTGGCTCTGGCTGCACTGCTGCTGCACTGCCACTCACTATGCAGCCTCCCATGCAGAAGTGCTGACACTGTCAGCACTTTGGATGCTGGCTCTAGCTGTACTGCCACTGCACTGCCACCTACTATAGAGGCTCTCATGGAGAAGTGCTGACACTGTCGGCACTTTGGATGCTGGCTCTAGCTGTACTGCCACTGCACTGCCACTTACTATGCAGCCTCTCATGGAGAAGTGCTGACACTGTCAGCACTCTGGATGCTGGCTCTGACTGTACTGCCACTGCACTGCCACTTACTATGCAGCCTCTCATGGAGAAGTGCCAACACTGTTGGCACTTTGGATGCTGGCTCTGGCTGTACTGCCACTGCACTGCCACTCACTATGTAGCCTCTCAAGCAGAAGTGCTGATAGTGTCAGCACTCTGAACACTAGGACTGCTGGGGTTGGGTAGGGTTGCACTGCCACCTACTATGAAGAACTTCATGCAGAAGTGCTGACACTGTCGGCACTCTGGATGCTGGCTCTAGCTGTACTGCCACTGCACTGCCACTTACTATGCAGCCTCTCATGGAGAAGTGCTGACACTGTCGGCACTCTGGATGCTAGGTCTGACCTCACTGCCACTGCACTGCCACTCAATATGCAGCCTCTCAAGCAGAAGTGCCGACACTGTTGGCACCTGGACACTAGGATTGCTAGGGTTGGGTAGGGTTGCACTGCCACCTACTATGAAGATCTCAAGCAAAAGTGCTGACACTGTTGGCACTTTGGATGCTGGCTCTGACTCCACTGCCACTGCACTGCCACTCAATATGCACCCTCTCATGCAGAAGTGCTGACACTGTCGGCACTTTGATGCTGGCTCTGGCTGTACTACCACTGCACTCCCACTCACTACAAGCAAAGGTGCTGACACTGTTGCTACTCTGTACACTAAGTCTGACCTCACTGCCACTGCACTGCCAAATCTTCGCTCTCTCCTCAGTACAAAATTACTCTCAGGGCATGCAAATGGCTCAATAGGCAGCCCCAAATAACAAGTGTCCAATTAGGCACAGAGAGGTAAATATAAATGAATGGGGGAAATTATCATAGTGGATCAAAAATTTAGCACGTAACTAGAATCGCTGCTGTGCCCCCTTGTGATGGGAATTTTTGTATCCAACTAAATCAAATAATGGAAATATTGAGTAGCGTTGTAGGAGAAATAACATATGAAGCTATATTATCAACTGGGGAGTAATAAAGGCTAAAGAGCCAGTCTACCCTCCATGCTACTTTATATACATATGTACAAGTGTATGCCGGAGTGTCAGGAACATGTCGGACGCGTATCCGGATGATCTGCAAAGCATGCAAAGTTGTCCAGGCTCGTAAGGTTGGAGGGGCAGGACTTCAGCTTCAGTGACTCAGGTGGAGTGCGCTGCACTTCGTTCTTACGTTGTTGTCCCAATTTCAGACAGAAGCCTTACGATGTAGAGAAGAGACTAGGGGGGGAAATCCAAGTCAATATACGAACTGAGGTACATCTGGTGTAACCTACACAGGTTATATGCACAAGTAACTAAATGGGCTGGCCTGGAAGGAGTGGCGGATCAAGCGCAATATTAATGAATGAAGAAAGAGACAAATAGTTAATATCCGCAAACTTGGTCAACAAAAGGCAAGCAAGAACAACGAGTGGCAAAGGAGGAACAATAGTCTGCAAGCGAACAAAAGAGAAAAGGCCATCCAGCCGTCTAGCAAGCTGTCCGGTTGGTGGGCGGACAACAAAGAACCACTCGAGCAGGCAACCTTGGTTGGGAGGTATGCACACAGGGGAGGAAGTGTGGATGATGGTGACAGGTGGACGGATGGACAGATGGACGGATGATGATGTTAGCGGGCAGGACGGGCCAAGTGGCACTAGGGCGTGTTGATGGATGTGATGGATGTGTTGGGTCATGACATGGAGTCGGCAAATGCATGCAGCTTGGTAAATAGTAAACAAGCATGCTTTTGCGTGCGATCTCAGCAAGATATAAATGGAATAAAATGGGAAAGCATGTGCAGCCTTCTCAGGCCTTACAGGGATCGACTAAAGTCAACTTAAATAAAAGAATTATTTCTCAGAAAGCCTGAGTGACAGATCCAACAAAGGAATCACAGTAAATTCACAGAAAAGTTCCAGCAAGAGAAAAGCTCTGCAGGGGTTCTGTTTCCTAGTAATTCTTGTTGGAAATCATTGTGGTTAACGACGATCTATTTACCTTATTAGTTTGTCTGACACGGTGTTGATGGGATCACTGCTGATACCCTTTTCCGCCTACTCTTTCTGTTCTATGCATTAACCCTTGCCGACGACCATGTGTCGCGATTGCAAGCGATATTAGTACTCGTTGTATAAATGGCGCGGGGCGCTAGGTTTTTTCCCTTTCCCTCAGTTCTCAAGTTAGAGACTGAGGTGATATCCCTTTTGTTGTTTTTAACTTTCGTATAACTGACTGTACTCTCCGTGTTATAGTCCGTGCATACAGGTAAAGAGTTACAATGTTATTAGTTCTCAAGTTAGAGACTGAGTCCGTGCGTACAGCTCTATTAATCATTTCAATTCTAACATCCTGAGTTTCAAAGACTAATGTACAACAAGGAGAATTAGCCAAAACACTCAGGCAGGCACAAAGATCTCAAGTGCACATCCCCAAATGAACAATGATCCCAGAGTTCATCACTGTTACGGGAATGGGTTCCGGGGAACCCAACCTGAGCCGTTCGACTCACTGATGGAGGTGGCTGCGTAGCCATCGGAGGGAGAGCGGAATAGGAAGAGTGTACGGAAGTACAACCTGTGGGTCGGCCAACGGTAACTTGGCGCTCCTGGGAGCGTACCGGTAGCGAGTATGATGAGGGCTCCTTGAGGGAGCCACCTGGCTGTCTGCTAATGGGGACTTGGCGCTCCTGGGAGCGTGCCGGTAGCGGGTGTGCTGGGAGTGTTTGGCTAACGGTGACTTGGCGCTCAATGGAGCATGCCGGTAGTGAGGGATACTGGGACTCCCAAAGGGAGTCACCCAGATGGTGGCTATCGGTGACTTGGCGCTCATGGGAGCGTACCGGTAGCAGGAGTTGTTGGGGAAAGCGGGTTGGTGGACCAGTGCACGGTAGTGGGTGACCGTGGGAAGTGGGACCCGCGGGTGTGTGGCCAGGCATCCTGGAGCTGCCTGGACCATATCCCTCTCCTAAGGAGGTGGGATAGGCTACAGTTCCTGATAGGGAACTTCTGGTTGGATGGGAGTGATTGCTCAACCACCCGGTGGACTGGTGGGAGCGGGTAGCAGGAGGTTGGGCGTGGGAATGCCCTCCTCGTTGCGGTTTTGTCATGGAGAGGATGAATAGGGAGGTGGACATGGTTCCAAGGTTACAGGTTGAGTTTACAGTGGTGGCACAATGGTGAGGATGTTACAATTGCGGTACAAGGTTTTTGGGTTATGTATTCGATAATGAGAAAGCATTTTTCGGCATCTGCCTTACACATCATATGACTTCTAACTATCTAATATAAAAGTCACAATGGTCAAGGGAAGTCCCTTG